GGGCTAGAAAAACAATGCATCGAAAACGAAGATGGTGCAAAGCTCTGGTATGCTCGCGACAAGATTGCAGATAGACGGTGTGGGCTTGGAAGAAGTTGATAGTTATGTCTGTCTAGCACGTCGAAAGCTGCCAGTTGGCGCAAATTTCACAGCATTGTCGATGTCCTCAAAGTGTCGAACCGGAAGGTCCGTGCACAAATCTTTAATGCTGCTGTGCTGAAGGCAATGACGTACGAATGCGGAACGTAGTCATTCACGAAAGCCAAAGAGCGAATGCTGGCTGTGACGGAGAGAGCAATGAAGCGAAGGATGCTTGGAGTGTCTCTCCGCAATCACATAAACAATTAGACTCTATCATTGCGAGAAAGTAAAATCCGATGGGCAGGACATGTTGCTCGTCTTGGCAACAGTCGGTGGATAACGTGCAATATTGAGAGGCACCCACTCGAGAGACTCCTGCACAGGTTACGCACATATATCGAACAGGCGGTGGGTACTAACTGCAGGTATGCAGCTCAGAATCGAAGAGCCTGGCATAGCGTGTGGGAGTATCCCAACAGCATCACTGACAGGGTAACCCCACAGTGACGGTCTGAGTGGTTCTGATATTCCTGGTAATTGTGTTTTAATTCTTAAAAAGACCATTTTCATTACCTACCATCGAAAGTCAAACGATGAAAAAACAACTAATAAAAGGACCATTTTTAATTCTACACTAATTTTTTTTAAGTTTCCTAATAATTCCAATGAAAAACAGTTTTTGAGTTTCGTCCCGTAGCACCCACATATATGTTCGATTTGATGAATTGGCCAACGCACGGGCTGCCCGTGCGAAAATGCTTTTTTTTTGCATAGCTCCACGCAGATTTTTGTTTTTTTCAGCAGATGCTTCTAGTTAAAAAATTTCAGACTGGCCGCCAGGACTGTCAGGAAACATCACTTCAAAATTCCAGTCTTCTAATTCTCACGTTCCCGAGTTAGCAACTTACCCGGAAGGTAACTTTCACAGGCTCGTACGTGGGTACCACGCTTACCCGCGGGCAGAGTTCGGGCTCATTAATACCCACTTGGACGGGGAACATGCCTTTAAGATTTCGGCCTTCTAGCTCCTCAGATTCCCGAGTTATGAACTCACCCGTAAAAAATTTTGGTGGGCTCGTACTTGGGTACCACGCGGGCAAGGGCGCTCATTTTGGAGACTGGGGCCCGCAAGTGCATGTAGATCAAGTTCCCAAAGTTTTAGCCCTGTAGTTTTTGTATGTCTTGAGACGAAAAATCAGTACACATGGACACACAGACAACTTCTCGTCAATATGCATTTTCTGTTTTACACAGCTGCAAAAAACGCATAAAAAATTAGATCCTATA